TTAAGTTAATTCTTAGCTAGCTGCACCCAGATGCTAACAGAATTGTAAGCTACTTCGTAGCTAGCTGGATCCAGAAGCTAAATCTATGCTAAATGAACTATAACTTCATATTGATGGATCAGTCAAATGTTTCCTCTCTGATGTTTCTGGGTTAATGTGTTTGTAGCATGTGAACTCCTTCATATCCCGTTTAGTTTATTTTACATCAATACTTCATATTCTATAAGATCATCACATGTTCTGTTAGAACCTCGTATTTCTAAAAACAACAAACTGTTTTCAGCTTTATGACGATTCCTCTTCCATCTGATCAAAGAGAGTTTATGTAGCTGAAGAACTAGAAGATTTTATCAACACTTAACATCTCATCCTTCAGTTTATCACAAACATTCAAAAAAACATCACATTTGTACTTCAGTATAGTACTCGAGTAAATGTCAGCTACTTTCCATCGCTAGCTGGCGGAAGCATCTCTGATGATGATGATGATGATGGTGATGGTGATGAAGAAGGATGGAGAGATCTGGAGGAAGAGGAGGAGAAGGATTAAATAGAAAAGTGTGAGAAAAGTGTTAAAGAGACAGAAGAAGAAGAACAGACTTACCTGGTGACTTTACGCCGACATCAGCAGACCTGTGGTCACTGCAGGAACACACACACATTTACTGCTAATGCTAAGCTAACTGGACCTGGAGCTAATGCTAAGCTAACTGGACCTGAAGCTAACTCTATGCTAACTGTACCTGAAGCTAACTGTAAGCTAACTTGACTCATATCTAGCTGTAAGCTAACTGGACCTGAAGCTAACTATATGCTAACTTGACCCATATCTAACTGTAAGCTAACTGGACCTGAAGCTAACTATATGCTAACTGGACCTGAAGCTAACTCTAAGCTAACTCTATGCTAACTTCCTCACCGTCCTTGGCGTCCGGTGGCAGCAGGGCGTCCTGTCTGTTGGCGAGGACGAAGGCCAAAGTGGCCAAGATGGCGGCGTCCAGAATGCCCAGCATGGCCAGTATGTAGGCCCAGTGGACCGAACAGTTACCTGGAGAGAAGCTGCCCACCTGGAGAACAAGACTAGATCAATAAATCACTGATCACCTGATCACACACCTGTTGTCATTTTCACATCAAATCTACAACATGAAGACTTCCAACAAGGTTAACATGTTTATATCAATTTAATAAATCTTTAATACTTAAAGTATATTTTAATATTTATTAATGACTAATAAAACTCACAGAGTCTCCACACAGAGCTCTCATCTCTGGACTCTCCCACGAGTCTGGAAACAAAAGACAAGCCAATGCCAGACAGAAACCTGAGAGACAGACAGGCAGACAGACAGAGAGAGAGAGAGAGACAGGCAGGCAGAGATAGAGAGAGACAGACAGACAGACAGAGAGAGAGAGACAGGCAGGCAGACAGAGAGAGAGAGACAGGGAGACAGAGAGAGAGAGACAGGCAGACAGACAGAGAGAGAGACAGATAGACAGACAGAGAGAGAGACAGATAGACAGACATAGAGAGAGAGACAGGCAGACAGACATAGAGAGAGAGACAGGCAGACAGACATAAAGAGAGAGACAGGCAGACAGACATAAAGAGAGAGACAGGCAGACAGACATAAAGAGAGAGACAGGCAGACAGACAGACAGAGAGACAGGCAGGCAGACAGAGAGAGAGACAGACAGAGAGACAGAGAGACAGATAGAAAGACAGACAGGAATAATAAGTTAAATTCTGTATTATAGATCATAGATTGTTATGTTATCGTTAGCATTAGCTTAGCTAGCTTGTGACAAACAGCTAATAAGATTCCTCCATGTTGGACTCTCCGTCCAATCATAGTCCATCTCTGTCAGGACGGGCTGCTATTGGTCAACGGTGAAAACTTGCATTTCAAAGTTCACAAATGTTGAACTCTCCATGAAAAATGTGTGCAAAATGTCAATGTTTTGACTGAAACCATCATCAGTAAAACCACAAGGACCAGTAGAACCTGTGGAACCACTAGGGCCACCAGGGCCAGTAGAACCTGTATAACCACTAGGATCAGTAGAGCCACTAGGACCAGTGGAACCTGTATAACCACTAGGACC